ATTGAGTTGGCCCACCGATTGGGGCAATACCAGCTTCAACTCTTCTGGGAAGGATGTCCACAAAGTTTAGGAGTGTGTCTATGGAAATGTTTGACCATTCTTCCAGAAGCGCATTTGTGAGGTCAGGCACTGATGTCGGATGAGAAGACCTGGCTCGCAGTCTCCACTCTAATTCACCCCAAAGGTGTTCTATCGGACAGAGGTCAGGACTCTGTGCAGGCAAGTCAAGTTCCTCCTCTCCAAACTCGCTCATCCATGTCTTTATGGACCTTGCTTTGTGCACTGGTGTGTAGACAAGTTGGAACAAGAAGGGGCCATCCCCAAACTGTTCCCACAAAGTTGGGAGCATGAAAATTCACTGGAATTAAGGGGCTAAGCCCAACCCCTGAAAAACAACCCCACACCATAATCCCTCCTCTACCAAATTTTACACTTGGCACAATGTGGTCAGGCAAGTACTGTTCTCCTGGCAAAAGCCAAATCCAGACATGTCCATTGGATTGCCAGACAGGGAAGCGTGATTCGTCACTCCAGAAAACACGTCTCCACTGCTCTTGAGTCTAGTATTGGTGTACTTTACAGCACGGCATCCGATGCTTTGCATTGCACTTGGTGATGTAAGGCTTGGATGCAGATGCTCGGCTATGGAAACTCATTCCATGAAGCTCTCTACGCACCGTTGTTGTGCTAATCTGAAGGCCACACGAAGTTTGGAGGTCTTTAGCTTACGACTCTGCAGACAGTTGGAGACTTCTGCGCACTGTGCGCTTCAGCATATGCTGACCCCGCTCTGTCATTTTACGTGGCCTACCACTTTGTGGCTGAGTTGCTGTTGTTCCCAGTTGCTTCCACTTTGTTATAATACCACTAACAGTTGACTGTGGAATATTTAGGAGCAAGCAAACTTCATGGATGGACTTATTGTAAAGGTGGCAACCTATCACGGTACCATGCTTGAATTTACTGAACTCCTGAGAGCGGGTCATTCTTTTACAAATGTTTGTAGAAGCAGTCTGCATGCCTAGCTGCTTTATTTTTTACACTCGTGGCCACGGAAGTGATTTTGAACACCTGAATCCAATGATTTGGAGGGGTGCCCTAATACTTTTAGCAATTTAGTGTATGTTTTCCCTTTATTAGAATGCTTCTTTATATGAAATATGTTGAACAAGACAGACCTAAGAAAAAAGTATGGAACTTATGTTAAAATTCTATATCCAAAATTAAGTTAAGAATACATTGCGTACTTCTGAGAAAAAAAAATAAACCTTTGCTTTTTAAACGTTGAGGGTTGCTAAATCCTCAAACAGAAGGAACAATTTAAGATGCACTGGAAAAGAACAATGTCTGCACACGCCGCACAATTATCACTGAAATGTGTCTTAATTGATTTTTGTTTTGGTTAAACAATGGCTGAAAAATTAGCTGGATTTTAGCTGGGAGGCTTTCTTTGGCTTGGTCACTGTGTCACGTTGCCTGGAATCTTCTCCACTAATCCCTACTGCAGTGACACCTACAAATGAGGCAGAGCTGATCAGCTGCAGGCTTCCTCACTGCGAGAACAGCCAAGAACTCCATCATTACTCTTGCAGATGTTCCTCTGCACCGCTGGGGATTCAATGAATGCTTGAAAACACTCGTTTTCTCAATATTTGTAATTAAAAAATAAAAAAATAGAAAGTATGCACGGGCTTACAGAAAACAGCACCTCACGAAGATATTAAACAGTTATTACGCAGAGGATTACATATGAGCTAGAAAAATGTAAATCTCTTTCCTGTAACCAAATGTGCAAGTTTAAAATGTCATAAGATGGTGATTTTAAGAGGTCAGTTGTCACTGTGATACACGCAGCATGCCTGTGTTATCTCGCTAGAATTAACTTTCAGCACTGGGTTTGGTTTAATCAATCTTATCACCTGTACCACACAGAGCCACAAGTTAAAGACTGCTGCACCCAAAATAGAATGCTTAATCACTTCCAATTTTGGGTGCTGCAAAAGAAGTTACTATATCATCACTTCTTCAGAAATGTTGTGTAATTTCACCCAAAAGCTTTGGATGCAAGCAGAATTTGAAACAAAACATTGCAGGCATGTATGCAGAGCCTTTCTTCTCTGTATCAAGTAAATGTTAAAATCAAGGGAAAATCACCATCAGACTGAGCTCAATCCAAACTTTCTCTATTATTCATTCTATTAAGTACTGTAGTAGCAAAGCTTTCAAGGAGGTATAATTGTTTTTTGATATGATAGGTCTAGCAAACTGCTCCACCTTGCTATAAACCAATGAACCAAAAACTGTGGCCCTTTGCCTGACTTTGTCTGGCCCCTGGGGGGCACTATTCCTTCCCCTGATACAAGAAACTATTCTACCTACTGACACCAACAAATGGGGCATAATTCCTACCACTGACACCAAAAATGGGACACTGTTCCTTTCTCTAATATCAAAGATGGGGCACTGTTTACTCCCACGACGTCAGGGCAATTTCTACCCCCACATTTTGCCCCCCCCCATAAAGGGACAGTAAACTGGCCCTTTGTTTACAAAGTTTGGGGGCCTTTGCTATAAGCCATTGTTATTGCTTAGTCTTCCCTCTACTCCTAAGGCCAGCCATAGATGGTTTGAATCTCAGCTGGTTCAGCAGGAACCGGCTATGATTTCGAACCATGTATGGGTAGGCTGAATGTACCAAGTTGACTGATCGATCAACTTGGGTACAACCAGCCTGCTGGAGTTTATATGCAATTATCGCTAGCAGCAGGAGGGATTCCCCTGTCAACACTGACCCGTGGTTGCAGGAAAGGAATTTGCTTGTGTATGGGCTGCTTAATGTTAGCAGACAGGGAAGCAGTGGATGAAGTGGCTCTGCTGCCAAACTCCATCACATCTACATAGAATGACGATCAAACAATTGACACAATTGTAACTGGTTCTCTATCAGACTTCTCAATCCCCTTAATCTTTATCACATTACCCTCTCTTTCTGCAAATTCTCCTGCACAGAAACCCACACACATTCACAGCCCACACACACCAGGTGCAGAATTTTTTTTCCGACTCTTTTCATGTCCTCATGGATCTTGAGGCAGATGTTAAATAAAAAGACTGTTGCCTGGACTCAAATGCCTTCTTTACCAGCATCTACCCTCATTGTGTCAAATTAAATACCTCTGGAATAAAACGCTATATTGTTAAAGAAATATTGCTAGATGGATGAATAGCAAAAAAAACAAACAAACAAAACACACAATATTTCCTAAAATTGCATAATTGTAGTTTTTGCGGGTTCATGAAAGCTCTCTCGTGTCAAAAAACCTTATAAATCCATAGCCACACAAGGGTTAATTCAAGACTTTTAACTACTTTTTTACCTCCTGTACATAGTCTTAGAACTGTGCTATATATTTTAAACAGATAACAGACATCAGAAAAATCCCAATTCTGCAGCTCATTTCAGTCCACCTTCCCAGCATAATCAACTCCCTACAGTAGCAGTCACTAAATGGTGTACCATGGTCAGTGAACGGCCCCAGCAGCACTGCTGCTTGGACCCCCAGCCCTCAATGTCAGATCCGCCACTGAGCATGGCAGTCCTCACGGCGACATGACATCACATGTGTGCCCCGCCCCTTTCAACTCACTGTTTCTCCGGCTCCCGCGCCCTGCCTGTACACAAGAGTCTAGCAAGGATCCTGGCACAGCTCCTGTCTGCCCTCAAGGTAGGGTGTAGTCTTACAGGGGCACTCTGATGGGCACATTGAATGTTAAGGGGCACTCTGATGGGCACAACATAGAATGTGCCCATCAGAGTGCCCCATAACAACATGTGCCCCTTACTATAAAAGTGCCCTTCAGCATGCCCCTTATTTTATGTTAAGGTGCACTCTGATTGGCACATTTTATGTTAAGGGGGCACAAACTGTAGAAAGGGGCACTCTGATAGGGAATATGATATAAAGGGGCACACTGATGGGGAAATACGATAGAGAGGGGTACCTTGAGTGCAAGGGGGCACTATGATGGGAATACCTGATGTAAGGTGGCGATGTGGTGGGGATACCTGATGTAAAGGCGCACTCTGATGGGCACACCTGATGTGATGGGAATACATGATTTAAAGTTGCACTCTGTTGGCAACACGTAATATAAGAGGGCACACTGATGGGCACACCCTATTCGGACCTCGGCTAGAAGAAAATTTTAGTGACCGGATCTCCTTGAATTTTAATTCAGTACCCCTGCCCTACAGGTTCTGCCCTGTTTCACTGCTCCTCTTCTCATCCAAACTGCTTGTAAAGACTAGGAAACCACCTCTATACTTTGGCAGTTAAATCTTCTACAACATGTATTCAGCCCAATCATGCCCTCAGCTCCAGATGCTCTCTTATCCACCAAGACCAATCTCTATACACTGTACCTCCTTTACTTGCCACACTACCCCCTAGCCTGCCCACTGGCTTGTACACATTTTCTACTCCATTCCATTCACCCCATTGCACTCTTGCCATCAAAATTTCTAACTTCCTAACTTTGGACCTAATTTTTTTATATAATTAGGTAACTCGCTCTTTAAATGTATTCCTAAAACTCACTTCTTCAGGTCAACAGATAATATCTTGCTTATTCTCTGATGATGCTACTCATTCCCTTCTCCTATTTGTGCCCCTTAGTCTTCTAGATTGTAATCTTGTGTGGGCAGGACTCTCACCCACATTGTATATTGTATTTTTCCTTATATTTTGCTACGTAAAGCCAACCATAGGTGGAGCGAATCTTGGCCGGTTCAGCAGGGACCAGCTGAGATCCAATCCATCTATGGACAGGCTGGTTGTACTAACGTTGATCCATCAATCAACTTCAGTACAGCCAGTCTTTGAATTTTTTGCATGTGATCACTGCTGGCAATTATAGCCACCAGCATTGATCATTGTGTTCTGCTGGGCGGAATTCTCCCTGCTGACAGAACACAATAGCGCTGCGGCAGGGTTGAATGAAACAATATTGCTTAATGTATGGCCTGTCTAAGTCTCTGCACTTGTTGTCCATGTGTTTTGTATATACTGTACATTATCTAAATTAGTTTCTATTTCTATTTCACACTAAATACCTACATAGGTGACAGTGCTATGTAAATAGAGGTTTGAAAAGATTCTGATAAAGATTGAGTCAAGTCAGCTCTCTCTTTGGAAAGGGCTAGCTCTGAAAATAGCCATTTTGACAAATATAGCACCTTAAAATAGTTATGACCCGTATCAAACAGATTGACAAAAATAATATTTCAAAAGTGACAGAAACTCTCTGTGCTCAATTGCTGCTGCCTCATATTGATGCCTTGTTATAATATTAGGCGACTGTGCCAACAATGGTCTCATGCCAAACACTGGCGAGAGCACCATTTCCCATTATTAGGAAGTCACTTGTGTGAAAATATTATCCTAAACAAACTGAAATAAGGTTGGCTTTATTTAAATCTGCCCACCTAAGAGAAGAAAATGAAGTTTAGATTTATAACACTGAACAGAATCCCAAAATGTATTTATTGTATACCTAATGTGCAATATTATAATGCTTATGGATTTCTGCCCAGAACTCATACATTTAACATTTCCTTTTTGTAACAAAACAAACACAATGAATAGTTCCAAGAGCTTTTTGTAATTTCTTCATCTGTTTGTCTTTCAACATATTTGACTCACTAAATTTTTTTAAACAAAACAGCTATTGTGATTTTCAGCATACCTCCTCTGACTTGTACAAGTCCATAAATCATAGGTTTCACTAGGCTGAAAGGCAGACCAAACTACAATGTTCAATGAAAACACAAATATACACAGAAAAGAAAATAGTTTATTAAAAATGAAACATTAATGGAAATAATGAAGTTAGAGTATTTCTATACTGGAAATTTTGATCAACTTCAAAATGTACTGTATTTTGAAATTAGATATTAAGGCAAAAATTAAAATCTAAGGATCTTAAATACATTCCACAAATATGTCCACATTACTTTTATAGCTGCATTGTTCTGCACTCTTCACCCCTTAGATTATAAGAAACCCACCCCTCGGATGGGTGACTATGAGAAAAAAAATGTATTGAATATCGGACGAATGATCGTCCTTTTTTATGCATGCAAGTCTAATGTCAAAAATGGATAGGTTACTAAAGTTCTGAAAATTCTCGTATAACAGAATACAACTTTGGAAGTTATGTAATGTATTCTATTGTATTGTAAGGTATTATTTTGTTTTGCGAGCATGAGCGGTCTTGTTTATCTGGTCATCTGGTATTGTATGAGAAACATTTTGTGCTTGTCCCTTTGGATAATTTCGCATGAACTACCGTGGCCGGTCCTCGAAAGCTGTGTGCCAACAATCAGATTATCGGGTGATCACTCTAAGGCTCCGTTCACATCAAATCCAATTTTGAAATCGTGCGACTTACAGTGAAGTTGCACGATTTCAAAATCGGGTGAGATGCTGATTTCCTTGCGATTTGCAAGACATCTGACACAGAGGTCTATGCAAATTGCAACAAAAGTAGTACATGTACTACTTTTGAAATCGTTGTGGCTCCAACCAAGTCAGAACAGCACAGATATGACCGCTCTAATAGCGGACAATAGGGAGCGACTTGGCATGCAATTTGCAAGGCATGCAAATCACATGCCAAGTCGCATCCAGTTTGAACCAGCCCTGAAGGCAGTATTGTTTGTCCAATGTTGTCATTGTGTATACTATAGGCATTAGTCACCTCTCTTTGCACATCCTGTGATTAGACAAAAAAGGAGCAGCAGTACAGTAATACATTTAAATCTGTGCTCTTCCTGTCTGTAAACAGGTTTACAGTGTTAGAATGACAGCACTATGCAAAGCAAGAGAGTCCTGACTGGCTCTGATTACTATTTCTCTTTTGCAGAGCAGTACAGAAAGTTAATAAGACTGATATACAGTACAAACTATATTAAAATATGGATTTGATGGTGCCTTTAAAATATACAGTATCTCAAAGAAGTGAGTACACCCCTCACATTTTTGTAAATATTTTATTCTATGTTTTCATGTGACAACACTGAAGAAATTACACTTTGCTACAATGTAAAGTAGTGAGTGTACAGCTTGTATAACAGTGTAAATTTGATGTCCCCTCAAAAGAACTCAACACACAGCCATTAATGTCTAAACTGCTGGCAACAAAACTGAGTACACCCCTAAGTGAAAATGTCCAAATTGGGCCCAAAGTGTCCAGCACTGCCTTAACCCTCTTGGGCATGGAGTTTACCAGAGCTTCACAAGTTGCCACTGGAGTCCTCTTCCACTCCTCCATGACGACATCACGGAGCTGGTGGATGCTAGAGACCTTGCGCTCCTCCACCTTCCGTTTGAGGATGCCCCACAGATGCTCAATAAGGTTTAGGTCTGGAGACATGCTTGGCCAGTCCATCACCTTTACCCTCAGCTTCTTTTGCAAGGCAGTGGTAATCTTGGAGGTGTGTTTGGGGTCGTTATCATGTTGGAATACTGCCCTGCAGCCCAGTCTCCAAAGGGAGGGGATCATGCTCTGCTTCAGTATGTCACAGTACATGTTGGCATTCATGGTTCCCTCAATGAACTGTAGCTCCCCAGTGCCAGCAGCACCCATGCAGCCCCAGACCATGACACTCCCACCACCATGCTTGACTGTAAGCAAGACAAACTTGTCTTTGTACTCTTCACCTGGTTGCCGCCACACACGCTTGACACCATCTGAACCAAATAAGTTAATCTTGGTCTCATCAGACCACAGGACATGGTTCCAGTAATCCAGTGTTTCTCAACTCCAGTCCTCATGGACCCCCAACAGGTCATGTTTTCAGGATTTCCCTCAGATGAAACAGCTGTGGTAATTACTAAGGCAGTGAAACTGATCAAATCACCTGTGCAAAATAATGGAAATCCTGAAAACATGACCTGTTGGGGGTCCATGAGGACTGGAGTTGAGAAACACTGCAGTAATCCATGTCCTTAGTCTGCTTGTCTTCAGCAAACTGTTTGCGGGCTTTCTTGTGCATCATCTTTAGAAGAGACTTCCTTCTGGGATGACAGCCATGCAGACCAATTTGATGCAGTGTGTGGGGTATGGTCTGAACACTGACAGGCTGACCCCCCCCCACCCCTTCAACCTCTGCAGCAATGCTGGCAGCACTCATACGTCTATTTCCCAAAGGCAACCTCTGGATATGACGCTGAGCACGTGCATTCAACTTCTTTGGTTGACCATGGCGAGGCCTGTTCTGAGTGGAACCTGTCCTGTTAAACCACTGTATGGTCTTAGTCACCATGCTGCAGCTCAGTTTCAGGGTCTTGACAATCTTCTTATAGCCTAGGCCATCTTTATGTAGAGAAAACAATTTTTTCAGATCCTCAGAGAGTTCTTTGCCATGAGGTGCCATGTTCAACTTCCAGTGACCAGTATGAGAGAGTGAGAGCAATAACACCAAATTTAACACACCTGCTCCTCATTAACACCTGAGACCTTGTAACACTAACGAGTCACATGACACTGGGGAGGGAAAATGGCTAATTGTGCCCAATTTGGACATTTTCACTTAGGGGTGTACTCACTTTTGTTGCCAGCGGTTTAGACATTAATGGCTGTGTGTTGAATTCTTTTGAGGTGGACAGCAAATGTACACGGTTATACAAGCTGTACACTCACTACTTTACATTGTAGCAAAGTGTCATTTCTTCAGTGTTGTCACATGAAAAGATAGAATAAAATGTTTACAAAAATGTGAGGGGTGTACTCACTTCCGTGAGATACTGTATATAGGTGAATTACCTATTTAACTGGAGTTCTGCACATATTGTTTTCTTTAAGTCCAAGGGGCAAATTTGGCATATTTATAAAGCGGTGAATATGGCATTCACCCAATATTCACAGTTATGGTGAAAGTTTCTGTACCTTACCCAGATAGTCTGTTCTTTTAAAAGTTATATAAGAGAATACATTAAGAAAGATACAACACATTTGTTTCAACCAATAAATAATAAGATGATTATTAACAAGTGACACAGTTTGCTTTTATGATCTCTGAAATGAGCCAATTATTTTTCACACATAAAAAACTGATCTGACAGAACTGAAAGTGGGCCTAAATTAGGTAACAGGTTTTTTGTGCAAAAATAATTTTATTCTGCCCAATCTGCCTGGCCTTAAATTGGAAGAAAAGCCTATGTTTAACTATATTTTTAAAAATACCCCCCCCCACCCTCCTATCTAACCTATATGGAAAAAAAGGATCTGTGTACTTACCTATTTTTAATCTGCTCCGATCAGGTCATGTGATCCAGCAGCTCTGAGAGGAAGCAGTGCCATGAATGGCTGAGCCACTGAAGCCTATGGGTGATGTCATTGCTCCTGGAATTTCCAGCTGTTGTTGAGTGCAACCTGAGCAGGAGCTGCAGGATCACATGATTGGATTAAATATAGGTAAGTACATGCATCTTTTGTTTCATAGTTTAGGCAGGAAAGGCAGAGGGAGGGAACAATTTTAAGCATAGTTAGACTTAAGCTGGCCACAGATGAGTCGACTCTTGGCCGGTTTCAGCATTCAACAGAACACAACAGCTCTACGGAAGGCAATAGTCCATCAATATGGACTGTGTTGATGGGGGAATCAAGCAGTTCTCTTTCCATCCACCCGTGGTAAAAAGGAAAGAAAATTGTATAATCTATGGCCTGCCTTAGTCTTTTGTTCCACTTTAATACTAACCACATGACCAAGAAATAGACGGACTGGATTTTGGCCAATGCTGGAAGCTAACAGCTGTCCAGAGACAATATGATCAGAAGACTCACAGCCAAAAGAAATGTATTTCTCTTGCCTTGGTGGCACGATATCATAATTTAGATTTTTAATGGAACTACCATTTTGATAGAACAGCGAATTCTGGGGTTGTAAAGAGATATAAGAAACTGGCATGTTAATCTAACCTGCCATAACCCACATGATAATTCAATTTTAGTTGGAGTTGACCTAACATAAAACGTAGACAAACTTCCACATGCAAAATCTCTATCTATTAATCTAAATAAGTGGCTGTCAACTTATGAGCTAAAGGTGGGCTCAAATATGTCTCCTGGCATCAAAGGGCCACACACAATGTTCAATATATGTATTGCCTGAGAGAGCTGTCAGGAACTGCAGACCTAATATTGGAAATGAAGGTCAGAGATTGTGTAAATGCTATATTTTTGGCTGAGGATATGCTACAGAAGGCAATATGAAACTGGAAACAGGTTACATGATGCTAGTAGAAAACAATGCTATTACCCTAATCAATGTTCCCACTACAGACTGCTGAAGTCCGAGGGTCACACATCATATCTCAAAAGGACCGCAGGTTGGGCATTGGGGATCTAAACACACTGCCATCAGTATATCCATTCCTCCTTTTTAACACCTTACACATGCCACCCATGGTATAGTAACACCTTTAATGTAAATGTATACTATTTCTGTAAATGCTTGGAATAATTTCTTTGGCTTTGTGCACTCTCTACCTACATACAGAGAGGCAAATAATGGAGGAGAGGACATGTGCACTATTTCTTACATTATCACATCCTAATTGGCTACCAGCTGCTAACACCTCCCACTTAGACTTTGCACACCAGTGTGACCATTGTTCAGGAAAAAAAAAAAACTTGACTTTGCCCCTTTTATCTGGAGTTTGCTGTTTAAAAGGGTGTGAAAGAATTAAAAATAATCCTTCATTTACAGTACAATACAAAACTGAGTAGTATTTTAGACTTACATTGTGGCTTGGATTTGACATTAGGTCATTTAGGGTAAATACAACTGCCTATATATGACACTTTGACAGACACATTGATGTCCTAGACTGCTGAATTGGCATCACTTAAATTCCAAAACTTTTTTCCCTCTTTTATGATAAAATGTCTGTAAAATTGTTTTCCAGAAGACGGACTTCCAGATGGATCTATTTTAGTTGTGATAATAAAGGAGGAGTGGCATGCTGCCAGGGAACTGGAGCAGGACTACAGCAGAGCAAAAACAGTTAAGATAATATCCTACAACACATTTCCAAAGCACCTGACAGCATAAAGCTCTTACACCTCAGTCCAGTACTGCTGCTGACCAGAATATTGGTTATGGATGACATCAACAATGTACAACATCTGTATGTTCACGAGGAACTATAAATCCCAGCAGATAAACTGCCTAATAAACTGGACCAAAACTTTATAAATCTAAAAGGAATCTGCAGACATAAAATGACTATCAGCTAATCATTTTGGCTTGGGCTTGTACTTAGTCATAAGGATCATGGCCTGATTCAGCCAGATAAAATGAGAATATTTTTGGCCAAACTATATTGTTTCTGAATCGAGGCCAATGCTTGTTTTTGAGGAAAAAATGCTGTAGATGGCCAGATTACAACTTTACTTCCAAGATACACCTTATTCCAATGGCTTGCTTGAAGGATAACTATCATGGGAGAAAAACAGAGAATGCCTCTGATGACTTACTTCTTGAAATGGTATCTGCCTGCATGTCTTAAAAATTCCATATTTCAGTCACTGACCTGGAACAAGTATTTAGCTGATAAAGTAAGCATGAAGTCCTAATCTGCATACTTGTTACAGGTCAGTGACTCAAAAACTGATACAGCTAGAAGGTCAGCATTGTATCCAGAAACAAGATAAGTACTGTATATGTTTTGCATAATTATGATAACCTTTCCTGGAAGATAATATTTGATGTTTACATTATTAAATCCTCGCTGTACCAGAATTTTACTTATTTAATTTGTAAAATGCCTCTCTTGTGGTTATTTGTAGAGATCAGGAACGTGGTCAAACCAACTCAAAAACTGCTAATATACAATCTCAACAATGTAGACTGCATTAAATGAGTGAACACACAATACATATAGTGTTATAGTGGCGCTAAATTAATAGCGATAAAGTGATATGGTGGGTACAACAAAATTAAATGTGAATGAATCAAAAAAAGTAGCATCCGAGAATTAATGTGAACACAAAAATAATCAATTATATATAATATAATGATCCAAAGTCCATAGAAATTACTCTTCTTTCTTTGGAATTCACCATGTGCTGTTTACTGGTAACCAAGTGCTTCACAATATCCCCCACATGGATGTACACTCACCAAAAGTAGTTGCTTCCCACTCTCGTGGTTGGCAAACAGGCTTCAAGGGATAATCCTCCCACATATAAACGAACTATAACCGATGCTTATATATTATACAAGCATGATACTCCACTGTCTCACGATTATCATGTAAAACAAGAAAACAGAGAGGCGCTCCAATGGTATAGTATAAAAACCAAGATCCTTTAATTTATCAAATGGACATTACTTACAAGCAAATGAATGTAAAGAAGACCAATGTCATATACATGGATAAGCCTGAAGTGGTAATAGACTGTAGGTGCTCTCACCACCTCCGGATTGTGGTTAACTGACACCGTCACGTCACTTCCGGCTCCAAGCAACGTCACTTCCGGTAGTTTTGTATTAATACACTTACTATTTTTTTTTTATTATTACACTTGTTATTTTATAATATTTTAATGTAGACTGCATATTGCAAACTGAGTAAGGAAAGTAAAATATGCACCACTGAGTAGGATTCATAGTCTGCAAATATAAATAAGCAATTATGGCAAGTAATGCTAAGAGGAATGGATCTTGGACACCTCAATACAATCATTAACATTAAACAAAGTGAACAAACTTGCCAGCGAGTAACACTGTAGCCAGTTCTTATCAAGTACTGAGTTAACAGCGGGGTGTATATGTAGAATGTTACTGTTCTCCCAGGAACAGCCACACCTTTCCACCATGCTGGATTGCTCAGTGGCCATTAGCTTGATTGCTGTCCCTAGTATTGAAGTTAATACCAATGGCTCAAATCAACAACAGATTACTTGTCACTGCATCAGAAAAGAATTCCTTGTACATTTTGATCCCAACAAAGCCTTTTCAAATGAAAGCATTTCATAGAAAAAAAAACCCCAACAACTTCTGCAGTCGGCAAAAGCAAACATCATACCTTGGGTGTACCAACATAAAGGTAAGAATAGTGTGTAAAGCTTGGAAGCCTTAAAAAAGCCCATACATGTTACCGTACATTATTTTTACAGTAGCTCTCACTACCAGAACTTAAGCTGTGGCATGCATGCCACAGAAAACTCCAATATGCTGCTGTTTTGGTCATTCTGAATTGGGTGTAGTAAAAGCAAGCCAAGAAAAAAATATGAACTGCAAGTTATATAATGAGACCCAAATAATCCGAAATGCTGCTCAAAGCTCCTTCCAACCCTGCCAGGTGTTAGCTAGTCCTGCCTGTTTGCAGACACTAAGAGGAAAGAAAAGGAAGCCCACACCGGAAAGCCAACCGTTGCGTAAAGTATCAGAAAGGCTTCAGCTCTGCCTCCTCCCAAGCCAGTTTTTCACCTGTTCATGGGCTTAGCTGTAGATGTGGGTGTAGA